TGTCTTGTTGTTCTGCTGTTTCATGTATTTTAGGCAAGCCTATATGTATTTCCTTGTTTCAGCCAAATAAAATAAATATTGTGACTATCATGGGGTTAACTGCCCAATACTTATTATGTAAGACCATATTCTCTAGTTCAAAGAACACTGACTCTGCAGTCAGACTGACTGGGTGGGCCGTTATCCATTCACCTAAAGCAAATCTCTTTCCCTCTTTGAACCTGGCTGTCTCACCCAGTAAAGTGAGGGGGGGTTGATCTAGAATACAGGTTGCAAACCCAAGGATTTTACCTCAGAATCCGTCAGGGAGTATGTGAAAAATGGAAGCTCTCCAAATCCCTGGTGCAAGCATGGCTCTAGGGCCCTTCTAGGGTTGACTTCCCACAGCTCTGAAATAAGGATGAGTGGATGAAAACAGAACCACTTCCCTATAAATGACAGTTTTCTGATTTTCAGTTCCCTTATGGAGTTAGGGCTAAGCAGGGGCAGTTCAACACTTGATACAGAAGTTTGCATAACACTGAGAAACAGCACGCATATACTCAACTGTGTCCATAAACTCTTTATAAATGTATGTAAAATTTATGTGTGTGCGGTTGTCTATTTTATTTTACTAGAGAAAAGGTCCCCTGCATTCATCTAGTTAAGAACCCCAATCCTGAAATCTGCCCTTTTATAACTCTCACTCACGTTGACCATGCAGAGGACAGGCGTTGGTAGTCACTACAGGGCTACAAAGGTCACAGAGACAGAGCCTCTGTCTTCAAAGAGGGGTGGCTGGGAGGGGTGGTGAGGAGGGACAAGTACAAAATAAGTCAACCCCAAAGCAGGACAGGAACAGTACCTCAAGAGGGGTGTTAGCAAGGCATGTGGGGGTTCAGAGGAAGTGTGTGTCTCCTTTCTGCTCAAGCAGTCAGGGAGAGATGGCAGTTAGGCTGGGCCTGGAAGGATGGAAAGCATTGTTTTTAAAAAGATACAGAAAATGAAGATGGTGGGCAGGGTGAGCAGCGTGCTGGAGGTTGTGTTCCCCAGCTGAAGTCCAGGGAGACTTTAACAAAAACGGAGTAACTCATTTGGACTTAAGAGTATCAGATGGCAGTGCTTCAATACTTACTAATACAACATCAGTGATGTCATTCATAATTTGGCTATGGTATTCATTAAAACCCATACAATGGGTAGATAATATATGTTTCTTAGATAATAGGTAAACATAGCTGGCAATCAACAGTTTTCAAGCACTCCTCCTAAACCTTGTCAAAGAAGTATTCTACCCCATAGACATCATGGCCTGTAACTGGAATCACTAATCTGGGGGATCATGAAGTTCTTTGCACATATCCATCTGAACTTCAAAGGTCAACTGCTGTATAATAGAGGGTCAGCAGTACAGACAACAGCTAGGACTTAATGTTAAGGAAACGTGTTATCTTCATTCATTAGGACCCTGACGACTGCTGAATGGCAATATCACATAATTACACTTGGGCTCTAAAAAGGTTCATCCTGCAACACTATGTAAGATGGACAAGAATAGGGAGGCTGGCAGAAAGGAGAGCAGCTGGCATGGGTAGAGGAGCCATGTGGCTCAGGCCTGCGATCATAAAAACCTCCAACACCCTCCAAGCAAGGCTCTGCCTGCAGTCAGAGGGGCCCACTGTAACACGCCTGAGACACACCCACCACACAGCTTTCAACTCAGATTGTAGAGCACAAAAACTGAGAAAGCCCACATTAAAACAGGTAACAGGAAAGGTTTTACTTTACCCCTAATAAATGAATAATATCTTAATGTAGCTTGTAAACAGAATCTTTTACTATTAAGTAAAATTATCTTGTTAATAGTACAGACTTATGGCATTATTTTTGTATATACTAAAAGCATTCATTTCTTAAAAGATAAACAGATGGAATTCTCTTATTTCTGTTTCGACATTCTTTCTTCTTTTAACATGTGGGAAGTCTCAAAAATGGAAGTGGCTCAAACCTCTCCTGGATTCTGAGCTTACTTTGGGCGTCCAGTTAAATGGTAATGAGAGCGCAAGGTAAGGTGCTAGCCTAGCAAAGCCAAGAAAGGGATGAACTGAAGCCATCCAACATAGACAGCCCAGATGAATGATTCTGCAGTTTCCAGTCTAGGTCATTAGGAGGACAATGGTGCTATTAACAGAACGGGAAGTCAGGAGGGGAAGTGGCATGGATGAGATGACCTCCACGTTGAGTATTAAGGACTCTTCTGAATTCTTTCTGTCTGGCTGGATTAAGTGAGGCAAGGTAACACACTGACAACATCCTCCTGAATATGAATGGAGGACAAAGAAGAGCCTCTGCCTGGGACCATGGGAATGCAAACTATCAGAGAACCTATGCAGTGCTCAGAAAATCACAAACTCCTTAACTTTGTCATTTGTTGCACATTTTCTTTAAAAGCCCCCTGAGCTTACCTCACAGCAGGTGTTACACCTGCATCACTTGAACCACTACAGGGAGGCCTGGGCAGAGCACAGGAAGAAGGTGGGGACCTAACCTGAGGACCTGACTTAGAATGCTGCCTGTCTGTGCTCCCCATTCTAAAGCCCAAGGGTATCCACTGCCCCACACCACACACCCCACCAAAAAGAAAGAACAGAGAACATAACCCACAGAACCAGAGAGTGGTAAGGCAAAGGGGAACCTGGCGATATCCAGCCAACACACTGTTTGCACGGATGAAGATTCTGAGCCCGTGGAGGCGACAGCACACACTACTCTGCAGCTGGCGCAGACACAGCCCTGAGGTCTCCTAACTTCCTCCCTTCTGCCCACAAGTCAGTGAAGAATCATGCTCACTTTCCTCGCACAGACACAGCACGTTCCCCTGCAATAGTCGTGACACATACACATAGGGCATATGGCACTATGTGCCACATGTACAGAGGAGCCAGGAGGTGGCTAAAGAAAAAGAAGAGGAGGAACATTCTCTGAATGTGTTTTTACTAAGGTCTCTGCATCTTTAACAGTGACTCATATGACTAATTAGTCAACTAACCACTTTCAAGAGAAATAATATCAATACATATTTTTCTTTATATGGGATCTGAAATCTATACACAGGATTTACTTAAAAAAAAAAGGCAGGAAACCAAGATCATATGTTCACTCGGGAATAAAATAGACATTTTGTGTGTTTTGAGGAGAAGGAAAAATAGAAGTCTTCACAGTAGCTGTTCAGCATGAATTAGAAGGCTTAATGCCTTTTGTGATTTGTAGATACATGGTATTAAATTTCCCTCTTATAAGCATGTTACAAAAATGTGTAGTGTATGTATTAGTGTAACATGCTTATAAGAGGGAAATTTAATACCATGTACCTACAAATCACAAAAATCACAATTAGAAATTAAACTTCAAAAAGAGCATTGGCTGTCTTGGCCACTTTAGCATTATTAAAAGCCTTATTATAGCTAGAATTAATGGGAGAAAAAAATTGATATTAAGAAAAGTAGATAAATCTCATGTTAACACAGGTTTTTAAGTTTGCTTTAAACAATAATTTGGTAAAGAATTAAAGCAAAGGCAGCCCTTCTGCTCATAAAAAATTTTAATAAAGGAAGATAGCTATCCAATTATCTTAATCTCAACTTTAATTTTCCAAGGAGAGTTTCTAGAAACAGAAAATGTTTAAAAAAAAAAAAAAACTACATAAGAAGAGATCTGTTTAACAATTTCAAGTAGTCTGTCTAGAAATTCCTTAATTTGCATTGAAAACTACAGTTTTGCTTGAATTGAGAGAAGCAAAAAATATATATGTATTAAGCCAAAGTTATAAGACCTTTCATATATTCCTAGTGAGAGCATTACAAGAAGAAGACCACATGGGAAACAATTTAACAATATCTATCAAAATCACAAATGTATATATCCTCTGACTCAAAAATTCTGTTTCTGAAAATGTAGCTTATAAGTAAACTTGCACACATACAAGGTTTTTCCAGTTGCAATATTTGTTAGAAGACTGGAAATAGCCCAAATGCCTATAAATAGGACGCTTGTTAAGTAAGTCATGATACAGCTGCAAAGTGGAATACTATGTGTCTGTAGAAATGAATGATGAAGAACTCTGTATTATATGGAAAGAGTTCCAAAACACTAAGTAAAAAATTCAAGGAACAAAAGAATGTGCATTCAATGCCACTTACTGTAATAAAAGGGAAGTGGGGCAAAATAATCATGTATTTTTGTGTTTGTCTCTAAATAGATTCTTTAGAGATAAAGAAATTTAAACAGATTTTGGAAGGATACATAAAAAGCTGGGGAGGTGAAGAATGAGACGGGACATAGGTATGTCACCATACAGCTGACCCTTCAACAACACAGATGTTAGGGGCACAGACTCCTCTTGCAGTAGAAAATCCCCATACAACTTTTGATGCCCCTAAAACTTTACTAATAGCCTACTGTCAACCAGAAACCTTACCCTTAACATAAGCAGTCAATGTTATTTTAAAAATCATAAGAAAAAAAATACATTTACAATACTGTATTTACTGAACAAAATCCACTTAAAAGTGGACCTGTGCAGTTCAAACCTGTGTTGTTCAAAAGTCAACTGTTCTTACTTTCTCTGATATTTTAATTATGTGAATATATTACCTATTTAAAAAACTTAAATAATTTTCACATAGCAAAAGCTATCTACTTACTTAATGCTCAAAACATTGAATTGAATAAGATGCTTCCTCACCACAGAGATTTTAGCATGTTCTCAAACAAATTTGACCTTTGAATCTTTAAGCAAAATATGAAATTAGATGACTCTTGTCCTTATTTCTTTAAAAAAAGAAGTTATTCTTACATGCCTTGCATAAATATAACACTTTGAGTACTCTGGTCTAAAAAATAATCCCATTTCAATTTTTCAAGTTAAATCTGAACTTGTTTACTGACAAAAAAACCAGCCATATTGCACAATGAAGTTAACTTTCAGAGTTTTCCTGTCTCACCACAGAAAACACCCATACCTTTGTTAGAACGGTTCTTCCTCCCGTGAGGGATCCGGTGAAGACAAAGGATATATCCATCTTCTGTCTCAACCAGGTGTTCCTCACTAGGGAATCCCCAGTACGAGATAATTTCACTCTAAGGAGAAAAAGGATGATGCAAATTCTATGGATAGAATCTAGAAAGATCTCCTGTGTTACAGGAAGAGGAGACCAAATCTCAGTGATGGTTACTAAAATTTTGGTCTGCTCAATCTAGTAGCACATGCCATCACTAAAGTAAATCTTTCCCTTGTTTTATCCATGGGTTCTACTCACAAGGTCTGGTTTTATCATTCCAGCATGTTCTACACCAAATGCATTCAACTTTGCCACAGCTTTAGGCTTCTTTGTTTCCATCCTGGCTCTCAGGCACAAAGAAACTCTCAGTTCTTTCTTTTCTAAATTTGCCAGCTAGTACTGTGATAGATTTAAAAGAAGGAATTATGATCAAATTCACTTCCTCACAAGCAAAGACTGATGCATAGGGCAATTGTTAATCACAACCTAAGTGGAAAATGGGTAACTCAACTTATCCAGAAGATTTAATGTAAATAAGTGCTCATTATCCTTTCTACCATAAATACTTGAGAGAATTCAATTTTATCATTTCTATAGGAAAAAGAATAAAAGGAGGAGAAAGGATAAAAGAGGAGATTTGGGACAAAAAAAATAAAACTTCATCTTAAGACTGAGATCAGGTCATACTGTCTTGGCTCACCATGAATTGATCTGTCTCTGAGGTTGCCTGGGTGATCTCAGTCTTTGGATGACTACATTGTATGTTTTAAATTGTTAGGTTTTTTTAGTAATCTGTATTTTCCTGATATTTTATGCCTAAATGATGTATTTCCAGATTTTATTATTTACTTAAGATTAACATCTTGGAATTGCTTTAATTACTCAAGGGATTGTTTTTACTTATTCTAACAAAATTTTTTTCAGGAATTTTTATTTTTGCCCTTAACTGTGCGCCTTGGACATTATCAATCAAAATCCTTGTTCAACGTGTTGTAAAATCACTGCTCAGTTTCATTCTTGCAAAGTTCTGACACTTTTTTTTATTGTTCCTTGAACAAATTCAGTGAGACTTAAAAAATAAAATGAATTTTTTAAATATCATCTATCCCATTAAGAAGAGGATAGTTTTAACAGTAAGATGCCGTTTGTAAAATCTCTATTACCTGGTGGGAAAGCCTAGCAAACTGAATCTAAGATTCAGAGAACATGAAAAGCACAATGCGATATAAAGACATGAGAGTCTGTAACTTCATGTAGCCCATACAACTGAATTTAAGAAAATAATTGACATTTGCCACAGATACATTTTTCAAGCAGGTGACTTTGAGAAACTTACCACATTCATTTTCGTTTCAGGATCCACAGCTGTCAGCTTCCCTCTGGAAGCCTCGGTATGCAGGGTCCCAAGGACCAGGCAGACCACCAGACCCAAGAGTTGCATTTTCATTCTGTATAAAACAGTCTACTATTATTTGTCTGAATTTCACTACATAAAATTCTGTTGGTAGATTTTATGCTCCCATAAAACGTTCTGAACAAGGTTTAGGGTAAGTAAAAGTCAGGGCAAACAGGACACAAATGACTCGTCACATCTGGAAACGAAAAGAAAAGAATATGTATGATTCCACTCACACAAAGCTCTTGGAAATGCAACCTAATCTATATTGAAAGACAGCAGATCAACGGCTGCCTGAGGAGACAAGGGCAAAAAGAAAGGATTACAGAGGGATACACACAGGAATCTTTTGGAGGTGATGGGTAGGTTGATTAAATTGAATTTACTGATGGTTTCACAGGTATACACATATGTCAAAACTTACAAATTGTACATTTACAATATGCCCTTTTTTCAGTAAGAAATTAGTGAGAAAGTTTAATATCTTAATCTGGGTTATGGTTACATAAGCATGTCAATATTCATGGGGCTGTACAGAAAGAATTGTGCATTTTATTGTTGTACCTCAATATAAAAAATTTTTTAAAGAAATAAAATGTGTATTGTTATTGTAAATCAGTAATACAATACAGCTATTTTTAAGACTTGTGCTTAAACTGAGTATTCCACAAATCTTCACCTTGTTCTCAGGTTACAAAAGTGAATGCCTTCTTTCTGTTGATGCAATTCCTGCCGCTCCTGCCCTTATTTCTCCCAGCAGTGGTGAACCCCGAGATGGAGGGGATGTTATCTTAAGTCTGCATGGGCAAAGCAATTCCACTTGTGTTTACTCGTAAATTTATATTTTTTAAAGCCATGAAGCATCTGGCAGCAGTTGCTTTCCACTCAAATCCAGACCGGCTGTCCATAGAGGAAGCTCCAGGAAGGTAATAGCTGAAGCCACTCAACTGGAAATGGCACCCAGTTATTTTTTCCTTCCCACACAACACTAAGCAAGTTTCTCAGCATACTAGTTAAGAGATTCTCATAAGGATGATAATGAGGTCAAATGGAGAAATGTGTCCCCACCTCACCCCCCCGTCCCATTCGGTGCAGCTTTCTAGGCTCTCTCTAACAATTTGATCTCAGTTCTTTCTGTATTATAACATTCCAGTTAAGCCAGTTAAGTGTTTGCCCTTATTTCACCCAAGCCCCAGGGCAAAACGATTGTCTGATTAAAATCGAACCTATCTAACTGCCTTGGGCATATGAGATGTACAACACAGATTTTAAAACATGGGATGTGGGCGGCCCATCATTTATTTCCGTGGCTGAAGAGAAGTCCCAAAGCAGCTGTGGCTTAGCCTTCTAACAGCAGCACTAATTGCAATGAGCCAGACACCGCAAGCACAGCTGCCGACCTTCTCTGTTAATTACTCCTCCACCAACTCTATGAAGTCCCGTTAAATCCTTTTTTCTTTTTCCAAGGAAACTTAGGTTCACCCAGTTAAGTACTGGAAGCAAGGTGCCAACTGGTTAAATTGCATTGCCAGGATCTTCACCAGGGCCAATGCCAAAGTCAGCTCTCGAACACTCCATGGGCTAACAAGTTAGAAAGTCAGGCAAGGTGCCCGGAGAAACTAACTGGAGTAGAGGACGGGGAGCAAGAGAGGAACTTGGAATCAGGAGCCCTGGCTGTCACCGCAGTCCGAGGGCTCTGGGCAGCTTCGTTGAGCGGCGACCGCGCCAGTCCAGCAAACCGGAGGGTGCCCCGGGAAAGGCGAACAACTTTGGAGAGCCCCAGACTCCTAGGCCGCAGGGCGATGCCTCGGGCCACCGCCCTCAGCAGAGGCGCCCGCAGATACTCCATGCAAGAGTGTGAGGGGCCGAGCGCAGAGGGTGCTGCCGGTCTGCAGAAGCTCCGGGCAGCACACAGAGAACCCGCAGCGGCGCGCGACCCTCCCCCGCAGCCGGTGGAGGCAGGCGGGCGGGCAGGCAGGCAGGCGGGCGGGCGGGCACGTAGGTAGGGAGGCAGGCGTGCCGCACGCACACCTGGCGGTGCGGCCGGGGTGAGCACTCACCTGGAGCTGTGCTCCCGGGCCGCTGGCCGGAGCCGCAGTGCCCGACCACGAAGGCAGAGGCACAGGATGGGGACATGGAGGAGGAGAAGCTGACTACGGGACGGGAGGGGAGGCGCCCGCACCACCCCGCGCACGCTATTCGCGCCACCAATCCAAGCCCTTGGCTGCCGGAAAGTGCAACAGAGACTCCGCCCTGCATTGCGCCACAACTTACGAGGGTGCCCCCCACCCACGCCCGGGTTTCCGCGGAGCATGCGCGATGAGCGAGCCCAAGCCGTGCCTAGCCTCGGGTCCCTTTCAACCCCTTGCAGCTCCCAAGTTCCACCGGCCCGCGCCAACTGCCTGGTGTCTTGGAGGCTGCCAACTGCTCTGCCCCGGGAGCTCCAGAAGGGCCGGCACCCTCTGCGCCTGGCACAGAGTGCGTGAGCTCTAGAAATGAAAAGAAATTATATGCTCCATGTAAAGCGCTTAGCAGTGCGCCTGATACAAAGCGATCTTGCTGTACATTTTACTTTTACTACTAAAATGCAAAACATTATTAAGACACTAGGGATTTAGCAGCCAACCAGACATGGTCCCTGTTCTGCTTACATTCTAATGGCAAGAGACACACCGTGAATAAGTAACTATGTAATACAAAGTGGTAGTGCTATGAAGAACAAGACAACGAGAAAAGGCTAATGAAAGAGAGTGCTGTGTTACATATAAAAGGTAATCAGAAAAGGACTCTGAAGAAGTGGTATCTCAACCCAAACAGGAAGGTGATTGAGAGCCATGTAGAAACTGGGAGAAAGAGCATTCTGGAATGAGAGAATAGCCTTTATCCCCTGAGGCAGGAATATTTTCTGGGACATTATAGAAAGAGCAAGGAGGTCAATGTCTCTGGAACCGAATATAGTTGGTGGAAAGTGGTACAACATGAAATTCTGGGGATAAGTGGGAGCCCTGGGGCCAGTTTTCTTCTGACCAAAACGAGAAGCCAGTTTTCAATAGAAAGGCACTATAATCAGGTTTACAGTTTATAAAGATCACTCTGACTGCTAGGGTCAACTATGAAAGCAGTTTGAAGGCTACTGAAATAATTCAAGCTAGAGTTAATGACAGCTTGGATCAGGGTGGTGAGAGCAGTAGTGCTGAAGAAAAATACTCAGTACTAGTCATGTTCATAAATTTGAGCCAATGGGGTTTGCTGTTGGTTGCTTACAGGTATGAGACAGTCAAGGATGGTACTCATGAGTTTAATAAAATGGAGTTGCCATGAATTCCAATGGAGAAAGTGCCAAGTAAAATAGCATGGGAAGGAAATCCAGAGTTTGTTATAGATGTGATTTTGAGACCACTGTTAGAGAACTCTATCAGGCATTGAACACAGACAGTACAGGAGAGCAATCCCAGAGAAAAGGAAACAAATGAAGTGGGCCCTGCAATTGCCCTAAATAATACCTGAAGAGAATTTCCAGGCTGCAGTTCAGGGAGAGGAGAACCTAGGCAAAATCCAGTGGTTTTTCTAAGTGGAGATAAGACTTAAGGAAGGCTAAGGCAGTAGAGTTTGCAGGGCAGAGTACTGGAGTAAAGAGAGGGCAAAGAGAGAGAGAGAAAGCTCCAGAGACATGTAAAGCGTTCCCCTCAAGTCTTGGGCTGAGTGCTAATTGAAGCTTGCATAGAGGGAATGTGAAATAGTGCAGCTGCTTTGGAAAACGACCCACAGTTCTTCAAACACTAAACATACAGTTGCCATATGACCCAGCTATTCTACCCCTAAGTATTTACCCAAAAGAATTAAAAAGCATTTGTACACAAATTATCACAGCAGCTTTGTTTGTTTACTGATTTATTTTTTTTGTTTCAAATATAAAACACAGTGGCTCAACAGTTACACATATTAAATCCTCACTCCCTCTAGTGAGGTTACTATCTGTCAACATAGAAAGATGTTACAGAACCATTGACTATATTCTCATGCACAACAGCTTTATTTTTAACAGGCAAAAACTGAGAATGATACATCTGTCCATCAACAGGTAAATGAAAAAACAAATTGTGGTATATTCATGGGATGGAACATTACTCAGCAATAAAAAATAATGAACTATTGATACAACATGTACGACTCTTAAAATAGTTATGTTGAGAGAAAAAACACACACAAAAAAACAGTACATACTGTATGATTTCACTTATAAAAAAATTCTAGAAAATTTCAGTTAACCCACATTGACAGAAAGAAGATTAGTAGTTCCTTGGGGAGGGAATTTGTGTGTGGGGGGAGCAGCAGCTGGATTACAAAGGGATATAAGGAAACTTTTGGAGGGAATGGGTCTGTTAATTATCTTGATTGTGGTGTTGGTCTCATGGCTATATATACATATATCAAAACTTGTAAAATGCACACTTCAAATATGTGCAATTTAATCTTCTTCAGTTATACCTCAATAACCCTGTTTAAAAACAGTAATAGCTATCATTTATTGAGACCTCACTATTTGTCAGATAGTCTTAAATAGCTGACATTCGTTATCTTGTTGATGATAATAAACCACCCAACAGTTAATTTTCCTCTCCTGCAGATGAGGATATAGAAGCTAAAGTCATGAAGACAGCATTCAAACTCTAACAGCCTGACACCAAAGACCCAGTTCTTATTTACTACCTGAGAATTGTAACCCATTTCCATTCATCACACTTCTCAGGAGTGCCAGGCACTCTTTCAGGTGTCAGGGATTCAGAACTGAACGTTGGCTTCTGCCTTCAGAGCATAATGCAGGAGACAGCGAGCTGAGGAACTGGGGCTTCAGACAGCAAAATCCATCTCTCTTGGCCTGTGGACAAGAGGCCGACCTCAGTCTTCTGCCAATAAAACTGAATGTTGTCTCCCCCTTCGTTGCCAGTAAGTGGCAGCAGCTCTCCAAAAAACCTTTTTCTATATTTGGGCCTCATACAGGGAGGCCCTGCCCCACACTGGTACTAAGGGCCTCAAAGCCTCTGTCTTGCCAATGGGTTTCAGCCCCAGGCAAGTTCGCTATGGATTCAGTGTGACCAAAGAAATTGACAGCAAAACGTTCTTTGGGGTGAAAGGGTTATACCCAACTTTATTTCCAGGTGGCAGGTCAGTCACTAGAATCCCATTCACTCAGAGCGAGTCTGTATGCAGCAAGTCAGTCTCTGTTTCTGGGCCCCTCTGTCCACACAGCTGTCCTCTGGGCTTCTCTGCACAGTCGTCCCACACAGCTATCCTCTGGGCCTCTGTCCTCAGCGCTGCCACCACTCCAGCCTCTGCTCTGCCCTCCTGCAGCCTTGCAGCCCTGACACCGTGTCATGCCCAGAGCACCGGGCAGAGCTCTTTTTATAGAGTTAACAGCCATGACAGGTGTGCAGTGAGCTAGTCAACCAGGGCCAGGTGAGAATCCTAGCCACAGGAACTCTCGTTTTATCCACACCTCACAGGCCTTTGGCCCTATTTTCCCACCCCACCCTTTCCTTCCCTTACCTCTACCCACATTACAATGCTCACGAATTCCAAGAACTCATCTCTACATGCCCGGTAAATTCTAGTGACTGCCCTGCTTACCAAAAGTATTAAATTACAGTCCGGGGAGAGAAAATCCTGGGGTAAAACACCTCTAAAAACCAAAATCAGTCAAAGGGAGAAATAAAGTTTAAAATTCATTTATTGCTCACAAGCTGCAGTCCTGGGCCATCTCCCTTTCCTGCTCTGGCAGAAGAAAACCGGCCCTCCCCTCACCTCTCAGGTGCAGATAAGCCCTCCTCGCCCAGGTAATTACCCTTTGATATGGAGATGAACTACTCTCCACCCCTGAGGAATGATGCAAATACATTAAAGCCATACTTCTTTCCGCTTCTGAATGCCTATTGATATGCAGATGTACTAAAGCCAGGTGAGACATTCTGGAAATGTTACAATTTTACCCACATAAATATATGTTGTTTTGTTCTGCTTCTATAAGAAGTGCTGATAAAAGGTTTATTGGCATGCAGTTGAAACTACCAGGTGAAATTGGTTTGGGGCTGAGAGGAGGAGATAGGGGTCACAGGGAGAATCAATGGAGTTCAGGTGTCCAGGACAGTCCAGGCTTTGCCCTGAGAAGCTAAGCAAGGGCTTCTTCTTCCTCTTCTTATTCTGGGCTTTCCAGTTAGGTTCATGACTAAAAGCATTTGGTGGCCAGCAGTGGTACACCCCAGCACCAAAAGAATTTCTAGGGATTATTGTATAAGGACCCATTAATTCCCTGCCCACGGTTGCCTTTGATTACCATTAGTGACACCTATCAAGGTTCTGTAATTTGTTATCATTTAAAAAGTAATCAGTGGTTGTGGGTAAAATCGCAATACTTCCAGAATCTCTCTCCTGGCCTTAGTGCATCTCCATATCAATAGGTGTTTCCAAAGGGTGGAGAGAAATAGTCCATCTCCATATCAATAGTACAAGGGCTATCAGGGGCATATCTGGACTGGAGAGGTTGGGTGGGGTCCCTTCTTCTGCAGCCGGCTCATGAGAGATATGGTGAGCTGAAGTGGATGACTGCTTGAAAGCAATAAATGAGTTTCCCCCACTTTATTTCTCCCTTTGACTGATTTCAGTTCACAGGTATTTTGCCTGGGCTGGGAAAATATATTCCTCCTGGAGTTACAGTGCTTAAAAAACAAAACAAAAAAAGTAAAGAAAAAGAAAAAACTCAGGGACAATATTAACGTAGAAAGAGAGTGAGCATTAACACTTTTTGTCTGTACCATTCATTTCAATGTAGAGGAGGAATCTTCCAGAGAAGGGAAGGACCTTCAAGAGAAAAGGGAACTGACTGAGACCTGTTAAAGGCCACAGTGCACCTATTGCCAATTGTGCTGGGCTTCCCGCAGCGTCTCGGTGACACCATCAACCCTGAAAGTATGGAAGCCAGTCTCATTTTGTTCCAACCAATTATAGACAGCCAGGGCAGTTTCACAGTTATACTCAATGAAATTAGTCTTTTCAAGTACTGCAGAGTTAGTTCACATATCTCTAGAAAGTAGAGATCTTAACAGAGTGAAGGAAGCAACTACAGATGGAACTAGCCAGTTCATCATTAGCTTTAAAAGATAGTCTGTTCCTAAACAGCAGCAGACTCACAGAACCCAAGAATGGAGTAACAGTTGCCAAAGGGAAAGGAACTGGGGAGGGTGGGTAGGAAGGGAGGGATAAAGCGAATAAGGGGTATTATAATTAGCACACATAACGTGGGTTGGGGGCACGGGGAAGGCAGTAAGGCACAGAGAAGACAAGCAGTGATTCTATATCATCTTATTATGCTGATAGACAGTGACTGTAATGGGGTATGTGGTGGGGACTTTATAATGGGGGGAATCTAGGAAACACAATGTTGCTCATGTGATTGTATATTAATGATACCAAAATAAAAAAATAAAAATAAAAAAGATAGTCTGCTCCTTAATGTTTATATCTGTAGGCTTGTTCCTCATCTGTATAGGCAACTTTTTAGAATCTCACCTTACCTTCCACCCTTTACCTTCCTGATTCAGAACTTAAGCTGTCAGAAAGGGTGAAAATTAAAGCCCTTAGGTCTTTAAGGCTTCTTAGAGAGCAGGGAGAAAGCTGGCTCCTGACTACAAGAATACATCTCTTAGAGTTGTGGGAGAACCCTGGGTTACATTCAAGTCTAGCCACCATGCAGTGCAGAGGAGAGAAGGCTTCTACTCCCATCCTTCACCTTTTCCCATCTATCCTAATTCTTCTAGTTCGAACCTGTGTATCTGACACTAGCTTATATCAAACAGGCTGAGCTTGTTGGGATACATCAGGAAAAAGCATTCTTTCTTTCCCCTTACTGTGCTCTAGTTTGCTGCTTTCGAAATCACCTCCTATCCCTTAAAAAATCCTTTGGGAGGATTCCTTGCCCTAACAGTTCAATTCCCATCTCAATTCACAATTCAAAGTTTCTCCCTTCCTCCCTCGCAGACCTTGAAATGGAGTCTGGTCTCTGGAAGGGGGTGTGATCTGTTCCTCTCCCTTCCTCTTGCTTTTCCTTACCCACCTACCCCCAATCCCTGCTGCTGGCTTCTCAGGTGAGATAATAGGAAAAGGAGTTTTCTTTTTGTTTTTGTTTTCGCTTTTATGCAACTAGGACTGAAGAGTTACATGGTATCCTCTACCCACAAGCATAAAATTACTAGCTCTTCAGAAATCTTCTGCATCTGTGAATGTTTTGTTGCCCTTGTCCAGCTTGGATTAATACTTAGTCCATAGGCACACACCTGTTCATCTACATTTGCCCTCTTACAGCACTAAATTATGTTTTCTACCTTTATCTTGCATCTACCTACCACTTCAGCATTTTATTAAAAATAATAATAATAATAATAATAAGGGAGAAATGTAGGATTCACATATAAATCAAGTATAAAAATCAAATGAATAATCATATCTGACCTGATTGTTTATAGTTCATGATGCGTGATCAAAAACGAAAGTTTCTGTGATATGACTGCCCTTGCACTGTTCAGCATGTAGGAACTTATTCACTATGTAAGAACTGGTTCACCATGTAAGAACTTATTCACTATGTAAGAACTGGTTCACCATGTAAGAACTTGTTCGTTATGCTTCAGAAGATTGGAGACTGTTGAGAATTAGGCTTGGGGTTGATTAATGATTGTGCTGTGAGTCCCCTATACAGAATTTTATTGTTGTTAACAACCATTTGATCAATAAATATGAGAGATACCCTCTCAAAAAAAACCAAAAAAAAAAAAAAAATTTCTAGTTCTTCTTTAGCACCCACCATTGGATGGAGCTTTCCAAAACAAAAATTCAGAACACACCTCTGGCAGCTGCAACCATCGTGCAGGCAATGAGGTCTTAATTAAATAGGACCCAGTCTCTGGTAGTCCTTTCCTCAGGGGCCTCTGTCAGCACTGGACTATTTTCACAAGCAGCGCTCTTTGTCCTCCATTCTCCATTTGGCATTCACTGAAGTCTCTCCTGGTCTCTATCTGACCACAGGCTAAGGCTCCTCTATGACTCCAGGATGCGCAGCCAGTTGTGGAATCTCAGTATCTTTTCTTATATCTAAATCACAGCTTTTCCAAGTCCATACTGATTTTTTCATATCTCCATTTTGCTGGTGTTATCAGACTGTCTCAACATTTACAACATTGCTACGTAAAGTGGTCCATGGACCAGCACACTGACATTCCATGAGAGTGTGTAAGAAATGCAGAATCTAAATGAAGGATTCAAGATGGCAGCATGAGAGGTGAGACAGAGAACTCTTCCCCAAATCACATATAACACAAAAATATAGTTAATACAACTAATCCTGAAAGAGCAACAGGAAAGAGTGCTGTACCAGACTACATAAACCTGGAGAACAGAGCAGACCTCACGAAACAGAATAACGTACCAAAGCTGTCATTCGGTGGGACCAAATCCCTTCCCCCTCCCAGCTCCCAGGCAGAAGGAAGAGAAATGGAGCGGGGAGGGGGTGGAAGAATAGGACTGCTGAACACCTAGCACTGGAAATCTGCTTTGGGAGCACAAACCTAGATTGCATGGTGCTCTGGAGATTAGTGGGGTGGAAAGCTAAGACAGGTGGAATACTTGGATAGACTAAGATTCCAGACATTTGTGAAGGACAGGGATCCATATCCAGCCACTCTGGGACAAATGAAAGGCGGGCAGTCTGAGAGGCTTCCTAGCAGCCAGAGGGCTGTTAAAGGGCTGGGGTTTGCATACAGCTTGCTGTGCAGAAGGGATATGTGGACAAGGTTGTCTGGGCACACTCTGCCCAGCAGATTGGGAACTTTC